CCTGAATGCTCCAGTTCAACCTATCGTGTACCCAATGAAGCCATGGGCAAAAATTGTCATCGATATTATGGGCCCGTTTGCCAATGCACCTCCGCAGAAGCGAAACGTGCTAGTGGCTACATGTTTCTACAGCTAATGGCCAGAGGCTATTCTATGCGGGGACGTAACTACAGCCGTCATCATAAAGTGGCTCTGTTGTTTGTTTGCAAGGTACTGTTTGCCAGAAGAAATAGTCACTGATAACGGCCCACAGTTTCGAAGTAACGAGTATGCTGAATTCTTAAGGCGCAATGGTATCAGACACACGAGGACTGTACCTTATAATCCTGCAGCGAATGGACTCGTCGAACGACCTAATCGTACTTTGAAAGTATCTCTACAAGTCCTTCGGCTTTCGAGAGAATCCTGGGATGATGCGTTGGTATCTGCATTGGAGGTATACAGAACCACCACATACTGCTACGGCGAGAACCTCCTCGGAGCTAATGCTAGCGAGAACAATTCGAACTCAATTAAATGCAGTCGTTACATCCGAAGAAACCGCCGATCACAGAGAATACGATAGACGGGCTGTTTACCAGGCCAAATATAGAGGCGCTGGGAAAACGTATTATCCAGAGACATTTGTTCGTGTGAGACTACCCTATTTCCGGAAAGGAGGTAATGTAATCGGGCCGCCAACGCGTGTGGAATCTGTGTCACGCCAGGAACCTACAAGTTGGCTGATGGGACAAAGGCGAATGCAAGACGGCTGCATACAGCGCTTTTCCAACGTGCTATTGAACAGACGAACACACCTACAACACAGCGCTCGGTACAAACTAATACAAACTTACGACGTTCCGGTCGGATACGCTGCCCTGTCTACCGATACGTTTGAACATATAACACCACATGACAATTCTTCGGGGTGTTGACATTAAATTAGATCGTGCATGGAAGTGTAGTGCTTATATATTTACGAATAGAGGAGGGGACAATGTCGTGTTCAAATACTTTGCTTTGTTTTTGCCCTCGATTCGCTTATCCTACTCACACATCTATTTAGCACTCATTGGCCAACCATGTGATCTTGCATTTGATTGGTTGCAATTGGAACTTCTATCGAGCTAAGTGTACTGCGCGTGTGTGCGGACAGTTTCCTCCATACATGCATACGTTCCGGTGCTGCTCTGGTCCGCTGATTTTTCGGGACGCAACGAAAACCAAGAAAAGGGGTCAGGCGTTCCCACAGCCTTGCAGTGCAGAAACCATGGGAACCGAAAACGAACTCGTCATCGCGAACGATCGAAGTACGCCCGGTCCTACTGCTCAGATCCTTTTATCTAATGTATGGACACGTAACATCGGTTAAACCTGCAATTCCGAATTACCAAAAAAGCCGAACACGTCTAAAACCTGATCCGTTTAGGCAACCGTTACTGTTCGATAAATCAATGTAAGCCATTAGTATCTTCATCTTTTAAAGCCACAAGGCCGGTCAAGGATCAGGTGCAACCTGCATAGATCACAATAGCCGTGGATCCCACATCACCGAAGACCAGGCGGAACTACGGTACCTTGACAACTATATGTATCAACGTACCTGAGTCCAGGGCAAATTCCTTATAGGTGAACAGCAAGATGATTTGAAACAGTGGAATTTCTTTTGTGGTCGAATCGGAGTTCGGGATATGCCGAGTAACTTAATCCGCAACACTAGATACCCAACCTAAATTCACTACGGGGAATCCTGGCTAATGCGAGTAACATTGCAATTCACAGATGATGTCGCGGCAGCGCTTTTGTCGGCATGTCACCTGCGGATTTGAAACAGTGGGATACACATATTTCCAGATGTTCCAGGAAGCGAACACCAGCGGGACAAAAATAATTCAAGCGACTACTACACGGAGAGTGGCAGAAAAACCATTTTTCTTCATGGCTTGCCCAAACTATCGGCATCTAGCTACGAAGAAGCCAACACTCATAACCTGGAATAGTGGTGGTACATCCGTGAAACTCTCTGTGCTGGTGACGTCAAACTTAAGTCGATTACACGATTAGCCGTGTTACCTCACTACGAAGTTAGTGGCCCGAGGATACTGAAAATAACGGTGCAGTCACAACAGATGGAGGTGTACTTGATCTGCTGGCAGATGCTACGCAACACAATCCCTTCGAAACTACGATTTAAGACAGCAGTTAGAAAATCACAACCACTCGCTGTCCTCACTGAAATGATGCCACCTGCGACTCAATATAACCACAACAACGATTCAGAGAACTGCTTAAATACCAGTGGCTATCGAGAAAGCTGAAGATGGACTACACACCGAAGGTGCAGGTGAGACCAAAAACTGACAGTATTCATATCGAGATTTGACAAGTCATCCAAAAAACGATTAGGTGCCGGCCTCTGATGGGTCGACACAAATTCACTTTCATATACTTCTTGTCAAGAGCTTCTTACATCCAAGAACTCACTTGTATATTTACTACTGCTCAAGGCTTACTTAGCAAACTTTCCGAACTACGACCCCTTCAAGGTTCGAAGGCCTGTGACCTCATCCCCATAACGGAAAAATGGCTACGCCCCGACATAAGTGACACCGGGATCGCGCTGTCAGACATGTCTCTTGTTAGGCACGACCAACTCAGCAAAATTAGAATGGTGGCTCTGTACTTCCGCAGTGACCTCCAGTGTGAGTCCATAGACGATCCGGTCAAGAAGGCACAGTATTCCTTTTGGTGCCTTCTACGTTTAAGAGGCGACGATGCCTGCTTGTTGTCGGTCATTTACCGCCCTCCCTTCCCCACGCCCGAGATGGACATCTTTCTGGCATCCGCACCAAGGCAGGTGATAAACAAGACTTACAGTCACGTTCTTAGTACTGGCGATTTCAACATCCACGCTCTGGAATCCCAAGCCGCTCCTGGAGGACAGTTTAAGACAGAGCTACAAGAGACTGTCTCCAGGTGTCCGCTGTATGGCCTCCTCAACACTGCCACCATATTCAGAGAAATGATAGACCGTCTATACTGGATCGGATATTCGCCAACAAAGAAATGATGATCGAGACGGTAAATGTCGACGTCCACTAGGGTCGCAGTGATCATGTAGTCTTACTCTTCGAATACGTATGTTATGCGGAATATGCCGTGACGCAACGAGAACGATAATACGCTACGATATATTAGCTCGACTAGGTGAGACAACCAACTGAACCTTTTGGCAAACGACGCACCGGCCAGAGCATGGCAACAGTTCGTCAGCCACTTCAACCCTTCACTGCATGGAGTATCAACTTTTTGTACAAATGAACTATACTTTTGAATTATGCATGTTAGCAGCATTGAAATAAAGGTTTTGTATTCAAATTTGAATATTTTTATATTTGTGTCTTGCTTAAGGTATGTTGCCTGAGGGCAACATGATGCAGTAACGGGTGGTTGGATCAACATCCTAGATGAAAGTGTGGCAAACTCAGCATACAGATCACACAGAAATATATGGTTTGGACACAAAGGCACAAGAACACATCCTTGAATGGAAAGAAATGTAATTGACATGTATGGTATAAAATGTCAGAATCAACTCAAAAATGATGACAAAAGAATCTGAATAATCTTAAAATGACAATTCACAAGTGGAACTCATGGAAACAGTTGCTAGATGTTGTTAAACAGAGGTATACAGCACACTTTCTGCATTGTCATTTTGGGATACCTTCACACCTAGGTCATTTGCAGCGTCCTTTTTTCTCTCCATGAAAACCGCATGTGGTCTGTGCTGTCAGTTCTGATGTGTTACTGAAGTACAGGTGCTATTGGCCCACGCTTGGGCTTTCAGTCGAAGCTGGTTCTTCATGTCCGATGAAGGCCTGCCTCGCTGCATTGGTTTGTTGGCCTTCAAAACGTAGTCAGCAATTGAGGTGAGAAGGGATAACTGGTCATTTCTAAACAACTTCTCTCCTGTTGCATCTCTGCAGTACACCCGCCATGCCTGCACTAAAGTTGTGTACAGATGATGCCAAATTATGCTGTGGTACCACTTCGTTGACCTGACTGGAATTCGATAGAGAGCTAAAAGCGAGTCCAGGGTATCTACTCCACCCATGAATTTATTGTATGTCGTCACAACAGATGGACAATCCACCTGGACATACGCACACTGTTTCTTGTCCCAACGCTAAAGTTGAGTTGCTGGTACAATACTCTCATACGTTGTTAATAATGTGACATCTTTGTTAGCAAACCATTTGATGGTCTTGACATCAACATTATCTATGGTTGCTGTACGAACAACATATCATCTTCCATGCCTCCTCATTACAACAACAGAAGGAAGTTGGCAGCCCATTAAACGGTTGGTCCGAACAGTGCCAACACATGCAATCTGATACCTGTTCCACAGGTGAACAGTGAGTGGTATGCCTGTAAACCAATTGTCGAAATACAACTTGTGCCAGTAGCCTTAGGATGATATTTCCAGAAGCCTTCAAGTCTGGCTTACCCACCACAGGATCAATATGACCTGTATAGAATTCTATATTATGTACAATACCATTCACACTTAACAGGACACATATGTTATATCCCCAATTCTTGGGATTCCTTGGGTTAAGGGTTTTTAAGCTGGATTTCCCTTTGAAAGGTACCACCTGCTCGCCGATGCTCAGCCACTCATCAGGTAGAGTGGTGTTGAATACCTATTTCAGGGCTTGAAACAGAGGTCTAATTTTATACAGTTTGTCTGTATTAGGAACATACATTGCCAAGTTGTCATTACAATGCAAACTGTTTTTTATTGCTTCAAATCTATTTATGGTCATAGTGTCTGCAATCTTGGGATAGCGGAACTCATTGTTCCAATAAGGACGTGTGTTAGGCATCCGAAAAATACCCATTACGTATAGAATACCTATAAATTCTTCCATCTCTCTGATTATTGTATTGAGCGGTAAGCTCGGGTTCTTTTGAAAAGAATACTTATTTGATTCTTCAACCAGAAGCTGCATCAGGTCTGGTGTGAGAATTTTTTGAAATATTCATGAGGCTCGCTTGTGGTATTTGTTGATGGAGCAACATCACTGAAAGGGACCTCAATATGGAGAATGTCCTTGGCCTCTCTTTCTCGCCACACAGGTCTGCGCAAAGTGCCTTGAGCTTCCTGGGGGTCAATCAATTCATCGGGATCAGCATTGTCATCGGAGTCAGTGTCTGAAGCAGATGGATCTGAAAAAATAAGGATTAAAAAAATTAATTAATATAAATGTAAAGTATATGATGTTGTTAAAAAACAGAAACCTGTGAAAATAGAAAACACATTTTCAGCAGTCACAATCATAGTGATTTATAATGTTGAATTCTATGAAAAAATAAAATTAGGAAAACAGATATTTCAGCAACCGCAATAAGAGAAAGGTGGGAATATCACTAGGAGGAGTGTGTGCTTCTGGAAGATGATAGCTCACTGTCCTCAGAGTCATCAGGCAATGGTCGGACAAAAACATCTATATGTCTAGATGTGGTTTCATAGAACCGTACAGGATCCATATATTTCTGTAAAGAAATCACAGTTGTTAATGTAAAGGGTGAAAATATTCCACTAGGTTTCGAAAATCAAGTAAACATACATGTACAACAAAAAATAAGCACATAAATAAATGTCATATAATAAAGTCAACAGTCAGGCACTGATATGATACTAGAACAATCAGCCCACCCTTTAGTACATAGTGTTGCTTTCAGGCAACAGACCATTCACAGATGTAAAGTACTAAATAACTTCACACAACCTTGTTTTCAGTACTGCAGATGAAAGTTATAATGACTTTTTTAATATCAGATATTTTTACTTTTAGCAACTAACCATTTATTAGCGTGAAATAAGTAAAGAATATGTCCTGTTCTCTGCTCGTTGATTTCCCTCCAAATCACTCCACTGTTTTGGCGTTCAAAAGACGATTTTGCGGTCAAACCGAATGACAAGCAATCGAAATAGACCGTAAATATTTTGTTTAATAAAAGAAGTTACTCAAAATATGAACAATTTTACGGAAGTAAGTCGGCGGAGCATTTTCTGGTATGTTGCCTACATGCGACAGTATGCAATAACGGGTTAACACTCTAGTTGCGGAAGCACCAGAAAGTAAGGCTCTCCACCCGAGAAAGGTGATCTCATTTGTGCGAAACAGGACACGCAAGTGTATGGCGGTGCGAAACGGCCTGGCATATCTATAAGCTCTCGCCGAGCACCATGACCTGGATGGCCTTCGTGACTCAACGTAGCCGTTGCATTCAACTTGTTCGCGAGGATAAAATGGCATACCACAAGAAGTTCGCATTGCGTATGATCTCAAATCACAGGATCCTGTATCGACGCGCACACACACACACACTCTGCATAAGGTGCAACGGGGAATTCCTCCTCTTCAGAGAGGGACTGATACGGACCCCGAAGGATGCAAGGGATACCCTGTGCCTGAAATATGCTAAAACCTTTCAGTGAGACCAGTGGTCACCTAACCCTATGGCAAGGGTTGTCTCGACCACAAAACTCACTCATATATTCTTCACAGCAGTAACTACTAAAATACTGTGGAAAATGCGTAAGCAAAGTTCTCCTGGAGTTGATAACATTCACTCGAGGTCAGTTGCGGCGGTAGGGGAGACAGATTAGCTGAGCCTTTGGTTCGATTCTTCAAACATTGTCTTGACGCAATGTATGTGCCTGATATGCGGAAACACAGAATGATTACTCCCATACAAAAGGGAATTAGTCGGTCCGATCCAGCTAGCTACCGTCCTGTAGTCTAACTGTAGGGAGGCGGAAGACAGTGGTCGCCAGGAGGACAGAAAGATCACTAAAACAGGAGCGGACAGGATGGGAAACGGACACAATGAGGGGGAGCAGACGGAGCAACACTGGCCTGACGGAACGAGACGAAAACGGGGCACGAGCGGCGCCCGGTAGTGAGCCTGAGCCAGGCAAAACAGGGAGAGTATTTGTCGAGAAGGTAATAAATCGGATAAAACCGCTGTTATTGCATCCTCCCGGGAACAACCATAAGCATAGCAATACATCCACCTTCAAGCAAAGCACGAGTTATCGAACGACTCCGGATCGATCACAATGGGACGCGTGGAAGCGGAGCTACGGGGGCGAAATGGACATAGAATAATTCTTCCCGTACCTCAAAGAGTGGATGGACGTGTCGCGAGCGGAAGCCAAGAGAGATGGTGCAACGGGTGAAAGAAAATGACTCAATAATGTACCAATGTGTGATTGGTGACATAACTTGTGATCGCGCCAATAAAGATTGTGCTTCATTGTCGCGTCGTTCTCGCTACAATGGTGCCCTTACTTTCTAAGGTCATGGAAGCCATCGTTGTCGATGCACTGACGGTCTACTTGGAAGAATTTAATTACCTTGTACCCGAACAGTATGGCTTCCGACTCAATCGATCGTGCACTACAAATCTACTGCCAACACGATCCAGTTGGATCGAAACAGTGGACACTGGCATAGGAGTTGATGTAGTTTATCTCGATTTCTCAAAGGTATCCAAGCGGTTGGACCATGGCATTCTGCTATCCAAAATCAAAACCTTTGTTATTCATGATCCTCTCCTGTGGTGGAGTAGTCTTTCTCCTGTTTCTACACCGCTGCTTGGAGACAAAATTGCGTGAAACCCTATCAGATTCCATCCAAGTTGAATGAGGAGAACCACAGGAATCGGTACTGAGACCATGGTTACTTCTGGTGTATATTAACCATGTTACTGCCTGCTTTATTCCCATGACATCAAGGTGTGGAGGGGGATCAATACACTAGATGATATAACAGTACTTCAAGCTGGTCTGGATAGGGTTTACGATTGATCAATTCAGAATCTAGTTCGGTTTAATTTGGACAAATGTAAAGTGCTGCAGTTACGACACCAGCTGGTGTGTGCCTATAAACTCGGCAACCAGGAGCTTCAAACGTCCTCTGGCGAAAAGGATCTGGACGCTTTGGTTCAGGCGGACAGTGTAGGTTCGAATCAGGCTGAACAAGCGTCAAGAAGTGGCTGAGGAGAGATCTCATCAACTTGGAGATATCTCAACGTCGGGCAACCAGGAATGTAAAAGGTTGGTGACATTTGCCGTATGATCAAAGGCTTCAGCGGATGATACCGGCGATTGCGTGTGGACCTCATTTTGACTTACCAGATTTTATGAGCGCCCAACCACACGTGCCGCCATTTGCTGGAGCTCAGTCACAACACTAACTTGAGAGGCCACCATCTCAAGCTGGCAGAGCACTACAGTGCTTTAGAATGTTGTCGGAATTTATTTTCCGTACGCGTTTGCCAACCGTGGAACGCCCTGTCGGAATCTGTCATTTGTGCTCCCACGCTGGTAGAGTTCAAGGCCCGTGTTGATCGTGCATTCATTTCTCTGCACTATCTCACATGAGTAATTGCACACGTCTAAACACAAATGTCTGTTATAGAGCTCCCTGACGGGTAACCCCCCCCCCCGAATACATTCCACCTTTTTCACCTGTATGCGTTCAGCATCAGGCAGCGCGATTTTTAGCAACATCCCACTTGTCAACATTTTTCATGGACATAGATAACTAGTTCTGTTCGTACAATATCGAGCAAAATGACTTACATATTTGCGTCGAAAACAGCGGCAACCATTCCGGTTTGCATGCTCATTGTTTGTGCAACTTCATAGCATTCCTCGAAATCAGCCTTGCCACCAGCTGCGTCAGCTCGTCTACTTTCTGTACCAGCTCCAAAGGTTGGGTTCTTCGCACTGTCACAGGTTTCGAGAAACTATGGGACACCGTCACTAGCTCCTACTCTCTGTTGACTCCAACCAACGATGCTAACTTCACTCCATCCTAGAGTTCGCTGGGTACACTTCGGATGAATTGCCCTCTCCGCCATCGTTCCCTTGCGGCGACACTTAACCCGAGGAGCCCAATCACCAGGCATCTGCTCAGCCACTGGAAGAACATCACCAGGTCATTTTGCTCTTCCCATTTTGCCGAGTGAAATTGTTCCAATGCCTTTGTCGGTAGATTTCTTGCACGAATTCTGCACACAGTGCTGCCAACATCATAGTGAACACACAACGGGTTTTGTCCTTCCGAGTTAGAAAGTACGTCATTTTTTGCTCTACCGGTCAGTAGCATGCTCACAGACGTCAGTAGATCGACATCGCCTTTGTCTCCACTTCATGCGGCAATAGCTACATACTCCTGGAGCCAAGCTTTTAGATCTCCTCCAGCAAGCTGCATTGGCTAGGTCAACTTCATCCTGGATGGTCACGGCACCAATACAGAAAAAAGAGAATGGCAAGAAAGTACAATCTTTATTGCACGCAACCACTGTTAACAAAGCTGTCACGCACGTGCGCAGTTATCGGTCATGTTTCCATCCCACAACGCGACATCCATGGGAAGTTACTACCTGTCACATTCGTGCGTCATTTCCCTCCAAGTTGTAGGGGGCTTGGCTGCCTATTGGACCCCGTATCTTAGCTTCCGTAAATCGCACTCCGAACAGCCTGGAGATGATCCAAGGCTCTTGATCGCGGTTGCGTTACTCGGCTTAGGATTATGCCTGGATGGACTAACAAAGGCGTTTCTGTCTGATATGTTGGCCTTTCGACAAATACCCTCTCTGTTCTCCTTGGCTCAGGCCCGCTAACGTTCGTCGCTCGCGATCGGCTCTCAGCCCGTTCTGTAGGGCTTGCGCTGCGCCGTTCGATCTCGTCCACGACGCCTGTGCCTGTTTCTGTCCTCGCTCCTTCTTGTGGTTTTCCAGTCTTCCGCGCCACTACAAGATGATTCAATTACCGTATTCAGTGTACGCTCTACGGATTCGAGCTCACACCTCGTTGTCCATGTGTGACAATCCCAAACCGTTTCCTAGCAAGTTTTGATCGGTTCCTCAATATACAGGCTGAAAAGTGAGTACAAAACGAGTTCTACCAAGTACATCTTACAAAACCAAACTAAATGGATAAAGCACTTAATGTCGTGAAGAAGGGTCTTATACGGCTTCTCGAGTAGGAAAGCCTTTAGGCGTCCGAATAGCATAATCTCCTGAGAGATCACTCAAGCATCACCAGTCTGTTCGTGATAAGGCACGAATTGTTGCAAGCGCTGAAGCAGAGAAGGTGGGTTGACATCATTTACATTGAATTCAGTAAGGCGTTTGACAAGGCGAACCAT